CCCACTGTTTACCTCCTATTACCCTCGCTTAAGCAATTTACCCTCCCCCCCCCCCCCGCGTGCCCCCCGGACGAAAGAAATCCTAACACCTATGCCGCCGCTCGAACACTCATTTTTCAGCAGAGTCGGTCAGCGTGCTCGTTCATTTCGCGGACCCCCTGCACGAGCTCCGCCGGCGCCCGCATGTCCATCTCTTTCAACGGGGCCTCCCCTCCGGACTTGATCTTGTGGGCGACGAGCATGGACAGGCTTGGCGGCGTGCTTCGCACCTGGAACCTCCAGACGTCGGAGTACCGGACGTCCCCGTTTGCGCCGCTGAACACGTACAACCCCCCCTGAAAAAACGCCGCCGAGTGGAACGCCCGGGCCGGCGGCGCCCCTACTAGATCGGTCGCGCCGCCCGCCACAGGGGCCTGTGTGGGCTCCTCGGCCATCCGGACCCACGTCGCCGTGGGGCAGTGGAAGCCAAAGAAGTCTTGCAGGCGGCTGAGCTCGCTGGTGAAGCCCCCCCAGAGGTAGATGGTGTCGGTCTCCGCGTCGAAGCTGCAGCTATGCGCCACGCGTGCCTTCGGAAGCTCCCCCTTCATGGTCGTTTCTTCCCAGACCAGGGACCGGAGGTCCAGGCAGTAGAGGTCGATGCCGCTCTGCTCCGGCTTGAAGCAACCCCCGCCGATGACGTACATCTTGTGACCTACCACGACTGCCTGGTGCTTGTATCTCGGGGAAGGCATGCGCCCGGACGTCACCAGCCGCTTCCACTTGTTTGTTCGCACGTTGTACTCGAAGAGGTCGTTAGTGTAGTGTAGCCCCGTCGACCCGCCGAACAGGAGCAGGTTGTCCCCGTACGTGCACACACTCTGGCCGTAGAACTTGCACGGGGTCTCCTCCGAGTCCGTCAGGATTTGGGTCCAGGTTCGGTTCGGAACGTTGTACTCCACCACGTCCGCCCTCAAGCTGTCCATCTCGACCCCCGTCCCCCCGGCGACGATGAGGGTCCCCGGGGCAGGACCGGCGCACATGCCGAAGGATGCTCGAGGCAGGGGCGCGTCTCCCTTGACGGTGACCTTGCTCCACCGGTGAAGCTCGAGGTTGAACACGTACACGTCGTTGAGACATGTGATTTGATCCTGTGCGCGGCGTTGGGGCGACGGAAAGATGTTCACGAAGGAAACGGGGTCATGCGTGATGAGGACGGTCAACGGACGGAACGAGGGGTGTTTGGCATGTACTATGAGCAGGAGGAGGCACATGCCCAATGTTTTGTGTGCCTGGCATGGCGATAGTGCGGTTATTTTCGGTGTGTTGCATACAGAACTGGTTTGGAACTATGGTAAGAAGTGCTCCGGTAGAGAGTAGAGGCTCAAACATCCACGAAAAACAAGAACTTAGGGTGAAGAATCACAGCCCAGCGATGGGTCCTACACCAGACCTACCACACAATAACCTGTGATCAACGATGGTGGCGAAAAGAGAATGTGAGCTTAGCCCCAACAGTCAGTAGGGCACCTTGTTTTCTTTCGGCACCACGTCGAAGTTCCTGCCGATAGCACTAATGCATTGTACGTTGTCCGTGCAACCTTGTCTCTCGCCTTCCTCTACTATTCAACATGAAAGTCACAGCTTCGGTGTCGACCTCAAGTGCCGTCAAGAGAGCAACGTCGTATATGTAGTAGCTTCTCTCCAATCACTTGAGCGTGACTTGAAACGGGAACATGTACTCACTCAGTCACCATCGAACAGGTCAATTAGCTCTGTGTTTGATGATACGTACGGACCGAAGCTCTGTCTGTGTTCACCACGCAAGGACGTATACGCACTAGTCGACTATTGCCTGTTGCCTAGACTATGGGTTCAGCCCCTTCACGGAATACGACCGGGACCATGTATGTGTACACTGTTGTAGGCCAGAAAGTTGCTCAAACGAAAATATAGCGGGGCGAGATTTTCAAGAGTCGGAGGAGCAGTCCTTCTGCAAGATGTTACTCGAGCTCTTCTACTCTTTTTCTAGAACATCGACGAAGAGCAACCATGCTGACACTTGAACCTATGCGCATGTATTAAGAGTTAATGACCGACACGGTACTCCTCCTCTCGAGGACGGAATTTCTCTACCCTTGGCTTTTGCACTCGCCCGAACGAAGCACCCACGCACAGTTCAGCACCCGCTGCTACGAGAAAGTCAGCATGTGGAGGGTTTTTGGCAAAGTACCGTATCACGAGCTTCACGACCCACGAGCTTCAATAAATAGAACCTTGAACTGGCCCGCCTACACCTACACGATTTGCTCGGCCCGTGCCGGCGGTCGTCAACCATGGCAGCCATGCCTACAGTAGTAGCAAAGAGAAACTACAGTGCACGGAAGTTCAGTCTACATGAATGCATACTGCAACTCTTTCGTGCGTGGTGAGAAAAGTTACGAACGAAGTACGTGTTGTAGTGCGTGCACAAGCTGAAGTTCACATGCCGGTTCGTTTCGCTTCCACCAACGTCCCGCGTCCAGACGTACACTGTTTTTGTGCTACCCCGACGAACCAACCCACGCAACATGCAAGGACGAGCAGACGTCGGGAGCTGCCATGCAGGTACGACGGACGCCGCCTCACGAGAGCATCCTTGAATCTCGCTGCTACGCTTTCAACCAACAACACACACACACGGCCTCGGGATCATGCCGACATCAGTTATCACCGCACCAAGCAAAGGGCAGTGCGTGATCAGTTGCCAGGAGGCCGGGATGCAGACCGGTGTGCCTCGCAACAAAAATTAATGCTGGGACAGAGAGTATGAGCCGTATCTCACCTGTTCGCCACCGCAACCGCCGAACAGGTACGCTTTGTGCCCGATGACCACGACGTCGTGCCCCGACCGGGGCGATGGTGAGTCCCCGCTAGTGTTCAACTTCGTCCACTGGTTGTGACAATATCTGTACCCAGCAGCTTTGCGGGCGGAAACATCCTCAGTCACCTGCTGCATGCTACTCCTCATGCAGTGCACTGCGGAGTACTTTGCCCCCATGCTTCAGGAACACACCGCCCGCAAACCGCACTGCAGCGATGGCAACCGTGGAGGGCTACAACACGGCCCAACCAGCACACCGCCGAGCTCTCTCGTCACACAACGTCCGCCTTGTAAGCCACCCAGATGTACTTGCTTTGTTGTGCGCACAAGCAACAAGCAAGTCGTAGAGGTGGAGCAGAGAGGCCTCTGCGAGCGATGTTCGTACGTATGTGCTACACTGCTGTATCACGTTCAACCTACGACGAGGCCTCGAGGCTGTTGTTCAAGATTGACTGGTGTCAACGGGTCGTGCAACATCAGTTCAGCTTGTGAGCTGCAAAAACATACAGAAGAGCCTCTTGTGAGTCAAACCGTTACGAGCACGTGAAAGGACGAACAGGGAGAAGATACTCGGCTGTTCGGGCTGGAGCGTGACTCGTCGGCACAACCGGGTCGGCATAATCGATGCCGGTTCAGCACAGAGGGGTGCTGTTGTGGTCTTTCCTCGCCACATTTCACATTCCACGGACCCCCCAAGCTGCCGCAGCAAGCCGCAGCAAGCAAGCCAACCAGCTCAGAGGTGTTGCTGTTCTCTGTCGGTGTCCCACCTCCTCCGAACCTCAGCAGCGAGACGTGCCGCCACTAGATCGACTGGGACTTCGCCGTATTTGCTAGCTTCGCTGCCCCCCAGTCATACACAGCGCGATTACACTGCTGTGTGCTTGAAAAAAAGGGCGGCATGACATCCTCGTCTTCCCCGTTGGAGAACCGACGAAAGCGGGGACGCCAAGACGTTGGCGCAGGCAAGACTGAAGACCTCTCGAGTTTTCCCCCCACAGAACCATCACGCGAAGCGAGGATCGCCTGGAACGACGATTTCCCGCGAAACTTCTTTGTGTGTGACAAGATAGGGGAAGGTTCTTTCGGGACGGTTTGGACTGCTAGACGCCTCCACAGGGAAGGTGGCAAGCAACGCGGGCGTCACGGCGGAGACTCGAGGGGAGAAGAGGAGAGGGACCAGGAGCTTGTTGCGCTGAAGAGGATCAATCCGACGTGCTCGCCTTCGAGAATCTTAAACGAATTCAACCAGATGCGGACGCTAGGGGGAGGTGAGGCCTGTTGCCGCGGGTGAAACGCGAAATAGATATTTTGAAATTTGAATTTTGACACTTGAAAATTGAACAGGACACGTGTGAAGCGTTGAACGTGGAATGCCCCCTTCTGCCTGTGCCAGGTATGTACGTACGCATATGCATAGTTGCGTGACTATGTACTGTTGCTGTAGTTTCCGCCCGTGCGAAATCTGCCATCAGTATGTAGACTGTGGTTTGCGGTCATGAACCAGGAATGCACGTGCAGGCCCTGCTGGCTCACTTTCTGCCGTGCACCCCCGCCCTCCCGGGGTGTAATACCATATGCCCAATCGGCTTGAAACGGCCACAGGTGGCCACAACGTGATCGAAGTGCAAGGAGTCGCCCGAACTCCCGGCGGCGTGTTCGCCCTGGTGATGCCCTTCTTCGAGCATGACGACTTCCGGCAGGTGATGAAGACGCTCACCCTGTCCGGGGTTGCGGTGTACCTCAAGTCGCTCCTCACGGCCCTGGCGCACGTCCACGCCGAGGGGGTCATCCACAGGGACGTCAAGCCCCGCAACTTCATGTACAGTGCTAGGACTGGGCAAGGTGTGTGGGGTGCTGCACTGCTGCTGGGTGGGTGTATCGGCAGCCATTTTCCGCTTGCGAGGATTGATACCCTTTGGGGTGTATTGGTTGCCATATCTGCATCAACGCCAGCACATGGCACCTCTCGAAGGCAGTAGCATTGCCACCGCGACAGTCGGTCATGGTGAGCATGCCCAACATCATCGTTACAGTTAAACGGACGCTTCTGTTTCCACGGGTCCGCCGGCTCTAGCACGCTCGCCTGACAAGGCTTTAGCAAATCGTCACACGCAGGTAGACATGACTTGCACGCAGGAGGTGTAATCCTGACATCTGGTCCGAGCATCTTCCAAAGTTTTTTTTTTTTTCGGTAGTTGACCTGTGACGGCGGAGGGCGTCCACGTCAGTTTGGACCGGTACGGACAGGGTAAGGTACTGAGCAGAGATCGGAATGGTTTTTAATGTGAATACAACAATAACCAACAACAACAATAACCAACAACAACACCACTTCCATTCCTTCCGACTGCCATCGGCGATACCCAAGGGTACCTCATTGATTTTGGCCTTGCCGAGCCAGCGGAGAAGTGGAGAAGCAGGTCGGCGGCCCTGGCCAAGCACAGGGACAAGAGGGCGGCGCGTGGCGGCAAACACAACCACGCCCACCAGAGACACCCCACTCAGACCACGAGCCGCACGACCGGAGACCAGGGGAAACGGCCCAGCAGCAGCAGCAGCAGCAGCAGCAATCGAATAGCCCCGGGCGCCGCCGAGGTTAACGCCAGCGATCGAGCTGCTCCTGCTCTCGATCGGGAAAAGGGGGATCGTGCGAAGCTGCTGAGGAAGGCGGAGAGGGGGGGTACAACCGGTTTTCGCGCCCCGGAGATTCTGTGGCACTGCAGAGATCAGGTATGTCGTGAAACGCTGGTGGGGCAACTTAGATGTACTTGTACGCTTCTTCTTGAGTGCCTCCAACAGGTCTTGGAAAGGATTTTCATGCGGAGGTGGACGTGGCTTTTGGATGGGAGAAGGGTGTTGTACCATGTACTGCTTGGTTTACGAGAGCGGCACCTCGCCCGTCAGATTTTGGAAATGGTTTTCATGTGTACCTTCAAAAATATGAGAGGATTCCATTGCTCCTGGGGGTGTTTGCCCAAGCGTGACTGGGCACAACACACGAGGTCATTCGCTGGGCATGTTTTTCATTGGCGTTTGGACATATTTTTGACGACTAAGAGAAAGTGTTTGACGTTTTGTGCATCAATCAGTCGTCCGATCGGCCTCGAAGGTCGTTTTTCTTTCGACCCCGCTATTAGTCCCTTTGAAGGTCATGTCGTTTCATCGCCGCCCATCGCACCTGTCAATACCCCTTGCGACACAAGAAGCTCATTTCGTGTTACAATGCGAGCGCCCCCTCAACGAGCGCCTCACCCAACGCTTCCTCTCCCTCTACCTTGCCGATGCTCATCACATCGTACCACAGGAGCCAGCTGTTGATGTTTGGTCCGCGGGGGTTATCCTGCTGTGCTTGCTATCTCGCAGGTACCCTGTTTTCCCCTCCGCAGACACCGATGAGATGGCGCTGGTGCAGATCGCACAGCTGCTGGGGGGCTCCGAAGAGCTCGTGAAGGCTGCCCGCGGCAGTGGGAGGTGCCACATCACGGAGTTCCCTTCTTCGCAGCTACAGCAGCAGCGTGGCGGTGGCGGTGGCGGCAACAGCCGCTGGGGCAGTGATGGTGGTCGTAGTTCGCGGTTGGAAGAGTTGTGCGCCCCCTTGCTGTGCGACGGTGCGGCGGCGGCGTGCAGCGAGGAGGAAGTGAACGCACGAGCGGACGCCTTGGAGCTGCTGAAGGGGATGCTGAAGGTGGACCCGAGAGAGCGGCTGTCTGCCAAGGATGCTCTCGTGCACCCTTTCGTGGCGGAAGCATGACTGGCCTGACTGGCTGTTCGGAAGCCGAGAGACAAGCGGTCCCATAGATGCTGTTCAGTGAAGACCAATATTAACCTTTGGGTCGATTTCGCCTCCGATCGCCCTTGAGGTGATTGGCGACATGTCTCCCTTAGATGTTGTGTGCATGTGTTGACGCACTTTCTGACGGTGCACGGTGCTTGCAGAGTATCACTAGGAAGTGGTGCAGGTACTCCTAATTTTTGGAGGTTATTGTACTTAGAATTTGTTGTCTTCTTTTTTGTTGCTTCAGAAGCGACCCGTCAGCGACTGCTCTATGCGATTGGCCGGTTCGACCCTCATTGCTATCGATTTTTGTAGCACAGGAGCCAAAAAGAAAGGATGGGACTTCAGAGGTATAGCATCCTATGTAACCATCGGACGTACGTGAGGGTGGGAGGAGGGGAGGTTGTGGTCCCGCAGTTTTTAGCATGTTTCAGAGACGCCCTTTCTTTGTACTTCAGTACAACTTGTCGGTGTTTGTACATAAATATGGCAGACACGAGAGACGGTACTGGTAAATACCGGCAGTGTTTCTACGCCATGGTACTTCACCATTTGTTTGTAGAGCTACAGCAGTAGTGCTTGCTTGGTGAAGTGCGTGAGAGGGGTTCTTGTTCGTGACACGTATTTATTTGTGTTACAGCAGTGGAGAACTGCAATGTAGTCCTAGTGAGCGCTGTACGGCCGTATAAGCGTTGTATGAGCGCTACATGGCAGCTTTTGAATTTTCGTTGGATCCATGTATATTATACATGTGCATCGTTGTCAAGTACTTCGTCTGAAGTACTGAGGTCACGATTCCAGCTTTTCCCGCTCGCGATCTTCATGTGAGTGCTGAGCGCACTTGGTTTAAAGAGGACAACACAAGAGATTAAAAAAACGCTTCTCCTGTGAGTCCCTCGAAGCAAAGGAACAGCAACATCTAAAATAAGCAATCGTTGTTCCTTCGAGATGATGACATTTATTTACTTGCCGACGAGAACGTTGCGCATTTTCCTGCGCGTGCCGTCAACTTGCTGTCTTTCCTCCACTATTTTTTTTGTCTCCTCCCACTGCCCCATATTTTCTGGTGGTCACTGACGTGCCAGGTATGTAATGTAAACACAAGTACATTGGCACACAAGCGGCAGGTGGCGGTGGTGTAGTCAACAACAAGCTGGCTCCGCAGTTGTATTTTATCGACAATCTGCTGTGAAAAGCCTCCTTCCGTTTTTTGGGGAATGGAATCTACCCCCCCCCCCCCCCCCCGGGGGCGGGGGTCCCTCCAATTTTTTTTTCCCGCCCCGCCCCCTTGCCCCCCCATTGGCCCACTACCGGTTTTAACCAAACTTTAAGGGAAGAAAGGGAATCCTATGGTTACCCCGGAATAACCTCCGGGCGTGAAACTTTTTAAGAAGCCCGGGCCACCACCTTTCAAAAAATGCCAAGCCCCCCCTTTTGGGTACATTAAAAAAAACCCCGGAAAAAAACCAAAATCTCGGGGAACCCCCCACTGGCGGC